AGGACTGAAGCCTAGGAAACCCAGCATGGAAGGAATGAGGACTCTTGATTCTCCTTTGTTGTAGTTTTTTAAAGGGGGGAGAGGAGGTGGACAAGGCAACACTGGACCAAGGTACAGATCCAGGCCATAAAGACTATTGTATGTTTCCCCTAGAATACTGGTTTGAAAATTGTGGAAGGTTCATAAACCCTTTGATAATCTGATAAAGAGTCTGGGCCTCACCCCAGGACGAGACCCATGTCCATGTGCACACAAAATTTTACACCAATTCCAGCAACTTCATATTCATCCATAGATAGGCTAGGGGTTCACAGACTCCAGTTTAAGAATCTGTGCCCTAGAGCATGGTGAGTTCCTTTTGCTGGAACAGCCCAGGATTCACTGAGCCTAGAAATTGAATTCTCATCCCAAGACAGGGTGGTCATTCCAGGTCATGTCTGTGCTACTCCGGGGGAGCCACGGAAGAGTTTATACAAATAGGAACCAGCAGGGAGGAGAGAAATTAAAATGTAGCAATCATGGAGTAGGGGTATTTAATCTCTTTTAAGGCTTATGATAGGCGCCTGCTGGTTTTCTCCCGGTATCCCCTGACACCTACTGACAGGGTATTTGCAGCACCACACAGTGACTCAGGGCCCTGTGACAGGAGGGGCACTGAGGAGGTCCATGATAGTCTTGAAACCATAAACAGCAATAAGAAGCCACTGGAGGCAGAGTCAAGCTGTGCGGCGTGCCCATTGTTGGTGGCCATACTGCTTTTTGTTTATAGAATTTGCTGTTCTTTTTATGGCAGGTTTGGTAGGGTTTTGTTTTTTTTTTCCTTGTTGATGGAGATTAGCAGCATAAATCCTTTTATGGCAGTGTGCAATCCCCCATAAACACTTCTGATTGTTGCTCATGGTGAACGCTGCGTCTCTTTCTGGTTCGCTCAATGCTCTGCTCATCCAGACCAAAGGCTTCTCCAATCAAATAGCCAACTTTTATTTTTAAGACTTCTTCATTGCAGCAGGGGGGGATGGGAGGGTTCAAAGAGGTGGGGCCAGGTTGGTGTTGAGAGAAACAGATGTTTAATCAAGCCTAGAAATATTTATGATGGGAACAAACCACATGCTGTACTTCTTTCAGGAGAAAGCCTTCTAAAAAGACTGTGGCAAGAAGCAAGCACTGATATGAAGGGTTGTGGGGTTTTCTTAAAAAAACACAACTTTTTATATTCTTTTCTAAAGCATCTTCAGTTGATAGTTTTGCATAATTAAAATCTTCGCCGTACCATTCACAGTATAATTTGAGTTACAGGGTGGGCAGCATGTATAATTCCGATGTCCTAACATTGTCACTTACAGGTATGTAGCCCCCCTTAAAGATAGAAACATTTCTGCATTGAAGATTTCAGGTCTCCTGAGAGCCTCTCAGCATTTTCCCAGTATTTCCAAACATCTGGGCAAAGAGAAATCAGACTTTATGGAAAACATTGATCCCAGAAATTCAGTTCTCTCTGCCATCCTAAAACTAAAATCCAAGGATCAGCAACTTAATAAAAATGCAGTAAATTAGCACCTCTAGACAAGAGCAGAGTTCATTCAGAGCTGGGGTCTGCCTGGCTGAGCCAGTACTCTCTCCATTTTAATAGTTTAATAAAAATTAGCATAATTAACGAACATCTGTATGATCCAGAGTGGTGCAATTTGGCACTTAGAAACGAGGGCTTAAACATGATTGCTGTGAGTTTAATGTTGTTTTAATTCTTTTTGGCACTGTGCAGTGAAATAAACGTTTGGTGGTGATAGTTCTCGGCCGGATCTCATTTGCATTTTTCTCCCTTTGATTATGAGCAATTGTGGACTCCCCAGCAATTCATCAAAGTAGAAATTATTTTAAAATACCTCGTGGTGTTCAGACTGGGCTGGAGCAATGCATGGGGGGTAGTAGTGGGAGAGAAGGCTGGAAATTTTCCATTCATGCTTTAAACATCTCAGCCCTGCAGCCCTTTTCCGGTATCCAGCCAAGGGATGAAATCTGGAAAAGATAGTCAGATCCCAAGACCTGGAGGTGCTTTGATTAAGCTCCCAGGCTCTCACAGCAGGATAAATACGGTCTCTGAGACTGTGCCATCCTCCTTCCACTTCTGCGAGCTCTTTTGTTTTGAAGGGCAGAGCGTTGATTTCACTCATTTCAGTTCTCACCACTGTGGTGAAACTACCACATCTGTAATCGGCAGGGTCAGTGTTCCCCTCAAGCAAGAACGAACTGACCGGAGCTCAGCCTTTGCAGGTGCCCTGCTGAGCCTCATCTGCTTCCTGTTTGCACCCTCTTGGAGTTGGCAGAGAGCATCTTCCCAAGGCTTTGTCCCTGGGACTCATGACATTGTGGCTAAAGGGTGGTACTGTGAAGTGTGAGTCAGTGGGGGGCGGGGGGTCTTGAACAGTCCCCAGGGAGCAAATGCCTTATCCGAGCCCCTGCGGGTGATGAAGATGACACTTCACACATGTTTAAGCAAGCTGACTTTGATCAAGAGATCGTCAGACAACATTGTGCTCACCCTCTGCCTGGGAGATAGCCGAGGAGCTAAAGCTAGTTTTTGTGAGTTACACTGAGAGGAGGACCAAGCCCGTACTTCCCCTCACAGCAAGGCCCTGCAGATGTGGACACTCTAGTGACTCAGCAAACACAAGGCAACACCACAAGAAAACTTGAGGCAGAAACCGCCCTAACTTCAGTGCTGGAAAATGGACAGTAACATAACTTATATCCAGAGGAGCTTTAAAACATCCTGACAGGCATAGACCAAGGAATTCTGGATAATTTCCTACAAGGCAGTGCTGTAGGAGAAACGGTAAGAGAAGCTGGCCCTGGAGAGGGACTGTGGGAGGGATGAGAAGGTATGGGTTGGCCTCAGCAGGCATCAGTGAATTCACACATGTGAGAAACCATATGAATGTAAAGAATATGCAAAAACCTTTCACCAGAATTCACCCTAATAGAGGAAAATCTCTATGAATGTAATGGCTGTGGGAAAAGGTTTTGGTGGAAGTCACCCCTCAAAATGCATCAGAGGACTAACACCATAAAGAAGCCCTGTGAATGTACAACTGTGCCTTGGACTCAGGATTAGTGTCAGGACAACGCATGCATATAAAAATTTTCAGATGCTCAAGACCGTTCTACAAATGTTGTAGTATTGGCATATTGCCTATGCACTTCCTGCTGTATTCTTTACATCTTGTGTAGAATACTTATAGTAATAAATACAATGTGAATACTATGTTAAAAAAAAAAGAAGAAGGTATGGTGTAGGAAGGGGTGGTGGATGGACACATTCAGTCATTTAAGATTGGTTTTTAAAAGGCAAATTCCCTGGTCCTAAAAGGACTAACTCAGTAGTTTTGCTTCTTGTGGCATTTGAGACTCTTCTTGGTGTTTAGGGAGCCATTTGGAGAGACTGTCTCCAAAGGCAGTTGATCTCTTCCTGCCACAACCAATTCAATGATCAGGGGAATATCTTATAGTTGTAACTAAATCTGCTCAACTGAGAGTACAAATTCCCACTGCCCCTTTCACTTCATCATAACCTCATTTAACGAATATTTATTTGGCCCCACTCTGCGCTGGGTATCATGCTGAATGCTGAGAGTCATCAGCAAGCAAAATCAACAAGGTCCAGCCCTCAGAACTCTCCATCTAGTGATTGACTCGGAGACAAAGAAAGGCAGATACAAGGCAGTGTGATGAGCTCATTTCCAAGAAGCACAGGACACAGCACTGTGGACAGTGTAGCCATGGCCCCCACACAGAGAGAGGCACGGAGAGACTTCTAGAGTACCTGACTCAGGAGTTGAGTTCTGAAGGCTGCTTAGGAGTGAGCCCCATAAAACGGAGGAGGGAAGTAGAGGCTAAATAGGCAGAGGAAAGGCTCCAAGGTGAGAGAGCCTGTGACTCATGGTTGTCATACAGGTAAGTTCCTGCTTTGGTGTCTTGAGGTTGACAAATCTGATGGCTTTTCCCTTTGAAGGTGGAAAAGAGGTGTCCGCTGAGAGGGAGGGGAATAGCAGAGTTGGAAGAGGGGAGATAACACTATCTAGAAACAAAAAGATCACCAGTTAATGCCAGGGACCCTGAATTTTACATGTCACCAACCTGGTTCTCTTTCCTTTTTTCCTAGTAGGACTCAGCAGCCAGGTGTACAAAGAGCAGACAGTTAGTTCCATGGTACCCCACATCCAGTTGAACTGGAATATGTGATATTTCCCAATCTTAAAGTTTCATCCTAATTTTATGTCCTTCAAAAGAAAAACATTTTCGAGTGCTTTCAGGATAGTGTCATAACATTCAACATCTGCTGTGCTTTTGAGGAGCTCTTCTGTTTTCAAGGAGCTCCATTCTCAACCCTGTGATTGCCCCTAAAGCCCTGTTTTAAACCTTCTCAACCCCTTTCTTGTTTGCCCCTCTCTGTGGCACCTGTGTCCTTGCTTGTCATTATTGGTGTACCTGTCAACCTCCCACCTCTTCCAGGGAAGGAATCTAATGTTTAGAGTACCTACTGTGTGTCAGACACTTTCAGTTGTTTTCACTTCAGTGGTGTCGCTCATATCCCACAACACAGAGGAGGGGAGATATCCTTGCTCTTACAGACCAGGAGGTTAAATCTAGAAGAACCTAAGGTCACAAGGCTAGTAAATGACCAGGCGAGGATCAGATCCCAGTCTGTCTGACTTCCAAGCCCATTAATCTATGCTGTAAGTTCCCAAGGAGCAAGCAATGTTCTGATTCATCATTGTATACCTCATGGGAACTCAAACAGCACTTTGCATATAGAAGATGCTTGAAAATATTATTTATCTGAACTATGACCAAACCTGCTGATTATCTTTAGTGTTCTGGCATTTTAGCGTGTGCCCAACTTTCTCTGAAGAAGCCATCCCGTTCTGCTTGGTTAAAGGTGGGGGGAAAAAAAGCTCTTTAGGTTCAGCAACCACCTTCTTTTCATTTTTTCAGGAGTATAACATGTATGGCTGGTGGGTAGGAGAACTGAACAGCCTCATTGGGATTGTTCCAAAGGAATATCTCACCACTACCTTTGAAGTGGAAGAAAGATGAAGCCCAGGTATCAGAACCATTGTCAATGAACTACCCGTGAGTTGAGTGGAATTTGTCCACCATGACTTTGTCTCTCTGTGAAAGATGAGTTGCCAGTGAAGTAGCTTTTCTTCATTTCCGAAAGGGAAAAGGGGATGCTAATTATTCACTATTGAAAGAAAATGAGACTAGAATTGCTTTTTCTAAATTTGGGGACTGTGTCACTTAGGACCAGGTTGAATTAAAAGTGATAGAAAATCCAAAGTAACAATGACTTAATTAACACAGAAATTTATTTTTCTCTCCTGTAAAAATCTGGAGGTAAGCTCTACTGTGCCTGGCCAACATTCCCATGGTTACCTGGTGGCCAAGATGGATGCTGCAGCTCCCACTCTCATGTCTGCATCCTACTCAGCAGGAAAGATAAATTAAAACAGAAGCGTAGACCTTCTCCCATTAAGGACACTACACAGATGTTACACACACCACCTCCGCTTATATTCCATTGCCAGAACTTGGATATACAGACACAACGCACTGCAAAAAAAGCTTTATTCTAGGTAGCTCTGGGTCCAGCTTAAGAGAGTTCATTATTAAATGAAAGGGGAGAGTGGATATTCAGAAACAACTAGGAATTTTTGCCACAAGGATGAATCAGGGGCCGGGGGGCAGGGCATGTTTTGTGGGTTTTTTACTTGTCCATTTTTTTGGTGTCTGGCCACTGTGGGGATCCAAACCTTTGATCTTAGTGTTACAACACCACACTCTAACCAACTAAGCTAACCATCCAGCCCAGATCTGGGTTTCTTTATCCCCTGCTCTCAAATCCAGGGCACTGTTTCCCTCAAATGCCCACATATTATAATATGACTGACCAAGATTAGGAACACAGTATAGAGATTCCTATGGACATAATCAAATTAACTTGTTTTTTCTTGGCAGCTGACCAGTACAGGATCAAATCCTGAATCTTGGTGTTATCAGCACCACCCTCTAATCAACTGAGCTAACCAGCCAGCCCCATAATCAAATTAACTTTGTAGTAATAAAGAATACATTTTGCTTTCTATGAGCAAAAACCACATCATGTTTTTTTGTTTTTTTTAAAGATGACCGGTAAGGGGATCTTAACCCTTGACTTGGTGTTGTCAGCACCACGCTCAGACAATGAGCGAACCGGCCATCCCTATATGGGATCTGAACCCGTGGCCTTGGTGTTATCAGCACCGCACTCTCCCGAGTGAGCCACGGGCCGGCCCCCACATCATGTTTTAAAACAGTGGGACTGGGTGCTTGGTTTGAATGGGGTAACAGTGGGAGCCACTTTGGTGCAGAGTGGGTTCTCCTGAGAATTAGAATAGTGATGCAGGGCACCCAAGACTAGCAAGATGTTCCTAGCTCCATCTTCCAGCCTGAAATGGTAGCAGCCTTTATTGCTGGAGGTGAAGGATGGCATCAGTATGACAGTGATACAAACTGTCCTTGGAGTCTTCCAGACCAGAGCCCACTCTAGTGTGCAGCAGCAGCTGAGTGAATTCATTTAGGAAAATACAGAAGGATAGATCTTACTCTCCGATGCTCTTGTACAACCATACATAAAGCACCAGCTCGGGCCTCTTGCTCAAGGTTTGACTTTATGACTTTCCTGATGAGGACACTGTTTCCTGGCCATGAATGCAAAAGGGTTGGAATTTTTCTGTCAAATCTAAACAAATTCATCCTACTTCACTTTGTCATTTATTTGAAGTTGTTTATCTCCTCATTCTCTTTGACCTAACAATTCCACCTCTAGGAGTTTATCCTACAGCTATATTTGAACACATGCAAAATGATAGGCACACAAGGTTATTCATTTGTAATAGCAGAAGAATGGAAAGCATTTGGGAAATGACCTAAATGTTCAATAGGGAGCTAGTCAAATAACTGTAGTGCCTTCATAGAACGGAATACTATGCAACAGTAGAAAAGAAAGAAGTTGCTACAGAATACATTCGGAAATGTGTTGGTAAGTAAAAAAAAGCAGCAAAGAAGGGTAAGCCAAATTTGCCCCATTTGTATAAAAAAGGAGTGGAGACACTATATACCTATTTGTCTATATATGTAGGAGATATTTCTGGAAGGAGAAATAAAATGGTAACATTGGTTGCCTCCAAGGACAGAGAAACTGCATGACTGTAAGAGTCGAAGGGAAGACTTCACTCTATGTCCTTTTATACTTCTATATTTTGAATCATAAAAGCAAATTTACATGCTTTTCTTCCTTTAGGAAACATGTTCTTCTCTCTCTTCTGCCTTTATGAAGAAACTGATCATCAGGAGCTCCCATTCTCTACTCCCACCATCTCACCAATGCCACGGACTCCTCTGTTTACTGAAGAGACCCAAGTCTCTGACACCTTGTAGTGACTGTAAACCACCAAGAAGACAAGTGGGAAGAGGCACATTCATCAAATCTGTTACTAACTCAGCCTAATCATAGCTCATCCCTATCTGTAAATGTGTCCACCATCCACATTTGCCTTTTGACAGGCTTGTCACGAAGAAGGTGAGAGAGAAGGAAACCTTAAAAAGAGGAAGTGGCTGGTTGTTTTGGCTGGTTTGAAAAGCACAAATAAACTTCAGATTTGGTTCTTTGCCATGTGTGATGGTGTTGAGTTCCTTTTTGTAATGGTATCAAAATGGCAGCTCTGAGCATTCTTACCACCTCCAAACAAGGTGGGAAGGGACAGCCAGAGAGAAAACAAAAGCCCTGACAGAGAAGGAGACTTGCAGTTGTTCTTTGCGACAGAGTCATCTCTGGAACCCAGGTCTGCTGGTTTCTGGTTGGCTTCTCAGAGTTCCTTTAGTTGGCTACATGGTTGCTTTTTCTTATCTGCTGAATCTCTCCGAAGCCAGACAGAGCCAGAAGTAAGGCTTTAGAGTCAGCACATTGGAGAGTTCCTGCACTGCAGTAAGTTGCAGATATGGGCTAAGGACAAGCGTTGAGGAGGACTCTCATATACAGGGCTCTCTGTTTCTCTTTCCTGATACCTGTACCCACACTCAGGTTATCTGCATGTTCAAAAGGCTACAAAGCATAGTGGTTAAGAACATAAATTCTGGGGCCGAGCCCGTGGCGCACTCAGGAGAGTGCAGCACTGGGAGCACAGCAGTGCTCCCTCCGCGGGTTCGGATCCTATATAGAGATAACCAGTGCGCTCACAGCGCTCACTGGCTGAGCACGGTGCGGCCGGTCTCAAAAAGGACAAAAAAAAAAAGAAAGAACATAAACTCTGGAACCAGACAGGCTGGGAATAAATCTGAGTTCCCGGTTTACTAACTATGTTCTCTAGGAGCAAGTTGTTTGACCTTTTATGCCTCAATGTCCTCGCCTTAGAAGGGGTATGTTCTGGGGCTGGCCTGTGGCTCACTTGGGAGAGTGTGGTGCTGACAACACCAAGTCAAGGGTTGAGACCCCCGTACCGGTCATCTTTTTTTAAAAAAAAAAAAAAGAAGGGGTATGTTCTGGGGCT